GCCTTCTTGGGTATGCACATGAAGCTCAGTTGATGTCTTCGCTGGACAAATTCACGCCCCACCAGTGTGTCAAAGACGCAGAGCCGATCGCCCTTCTCTGCAATCTCGCGGACAATGGAGCCAGTTGCTAGGCGCTCGCGCATCCTGGGCCCCAAGGCTTCAAATGAATTTACACTCACCCAAACCCCGACGTTTACAGCTGAATGTTGGAACTGTACCTTGTCTGAGAACGCACAGATCCACAAGACATGGACAATCTTTGAAAGTCCAGCCCCTAAACCCTAAACCCTAAACCCTAAACCCTAAACCCTAAACCCTAAACCCCAGTACCCCCCACATCACTGCAGAGCTTGGAGGCGAGAATCGCTAAAGCACCATGTCTATCACCTTCCCAAATGCGCTAAACACCTCGTACCTCACTCCACTACTCCAGCTTAAACGCCTGTAAGCCAAGGCCCCTCGAGCCTGAATCAGAAGATTGGACCCCACTTCCAGTGGCTTACATTCTGCCGTTTTTTTTTCAGCCAGTGCTTCGGATTCCTATAAGATTAAAGTCCATGAAGCCTTGAGAAGACTTAGGGTTCAAGTCCATGCTTGTTTCGGATGTTTTTTGTCTAGAGGGCCCTGCACGCCGACCTCCCCCCCCCCCCCCCCCCCAACGACCCCCCAACGAAAATGCAGCTTAGGGTTTAGGGTTTGGGGTTTAGGGTTTAAGGTTTAGGGTTCAGCAAACCTGCGAAGATGCTGGTCAGCCAAGTTGCTCGGGCGACTGTAGGCCTGAAGTGAGATCGCTTGTCCGTAGTCTCAAGCTTCACATGACATGCGGGCCTTAGGGTTTAGGTGGGGTTGGTGCTTAGAATTCTTGCCTTTATTTTGTGTGCCCAGAAGGCCCTATCAAGAACTGCTGTATACTCAAGATACTACTGGTTTCGGGTTTGGGGCAGCTTGTGGTCTTGGCCGTCTCTATTTCCCGGGCATTGCTGCAAGTACTGGGCTCAAGGTTGCTCAAGGCTGCCCTGAAGACTCAGGGTTTAGGGTTTAGTGTTTAGGGTCCTGTTATCTCCTGTTTGCAGCCAGGAATCTTGCGCCCTCTCGGACAACCACACCGCCCTCCTTCGCGCCACCAACCTTACGCAGGAGTGCCGTGGCTCAACGTCTTATACAGTTCCCTAAACCCTAAACCATAAACCCTAAACCCTAAACCCTGAACCCTGAACCCTGAACCCTAAACCCACGCAGCTTCTACACCGGGCACAAGAGACGAAAGGACTCGTGGCAGAAGTTGCGCCCTGGGGCTGTAATGGAGCCCTTCAGTGCATCCCCGCCAAACTCATAGAACAAACGCCTGCAAAGGGTCATCTGTGGGGACTCGGGAAACCCGAACGGCTTGTATACCCCAATCCAGGATGAGAGTATAGGGTATATGATCATCCCAAATTGCTTAAGGTTTCCTTCGGGTCCCGAAGAGATCCTCATGTTCTGTACCTGCATGTGCTGCCACGCCACAACTTCCCACATAAGCACCTGCAAGGTTAGACACATCATGGGCCCCTCTCTGGGTACCCTAAGGTATAACAGGGCCGGACTATAACATGGTCCTGGCGAAAAAGCAACGATACCTGGGTGAAGACAAGCCTTGGCCGGCAAGTAACACCCTAAACCCTAAACCCACAACCCACAGAACCATCTACGTGCTAAGCTCGACCCGGCGTGAACCTTACAAAACCCTGAACCCAAATCTACGGGAGGCTCTTGCGGAAGGTTTGGAGAGTACCGGGCACAGAAATGCTGGAGAGGTCAAGGGATCATCTGAATGGGGCTGAAGTTTTCAGATCTGTTTTTGGGGCCTTTGGGATTAGGCGGTTCATCTTCGCCTGTGGGTCTGACGCCCAGGGGTCATCGGACTCGGACTCGAATCACACCGAGATCTTCGCACTATGTGACATCAGCTTCTGTGCCCTGGGTCCCTAGATCCTCGCCCCTACAGTAGAACAGCTGGGCTTGCCTTTCGAATCCCTCTCTGAAACACATTCCTGAATATGACCCTAACCAACTCACAACTATCACATCAAAGAGGTAACCTCGCCACCCAACAGGGAGCGATACTGCGCAGCATTGTCCTGCCTTTTTCCGCAGCTTCTGGAACAACTCCTCCACCTCTCCAGCCGAGCATGTTGACTGCTGAGCTGAGCATGTTGACTGTGCAAGTCCAACCCAAATCATTTAGGCTTTAGGGTTCAGGGTTTAGGGCCTGGACCCTAGGGCCTAAAGTTAGAGTAAACCCTAAGCCACATGCTTGCAGGCCGAAGTCTATGTGTAGCGGTGGCGGTGCCCAAGCTACAAACGAGGTCCAACTGCGAGGACCAATTGTATTTGCATTCGGGATTCAAGACGCTGCAGCTGAGAGGAGAACTAGTGGGGATTCGTGATCACACAGTCTAGGTATCGGGAAAGCGATTACAGGCGTAGGTATGGAGGTTACGGGTCGAGGTGTGTAAGGTCAAAAGCAACATCAGGCTGTGGATCAATCTGAAGGTTACACGCAAAACGGTGCTGGCTTTGCTTGGGGCGGGGGGCAGTGTAGTTCGTTTTTGTTTGGGGTGGGGTGAACCCTCATGCTCAAATCCTAACCCCTCCCCCCAGCTCGAGTCTGCAACAGATTCCTCTGGCGCTTGAGGGGCAGTTGTAAATAGGTGGGCCAGGGCTTAAGAAACGCCTGAAGTCCGCGAGGGTCGATCTGCGACATCTTGGCGAGAGCGAGCTGGCCCTCCTGCAGGGGGGGCGTACCAGTTGATTTGCTCAAAATGTGATCGCCTGAAGCCCAAGAGGTTTCCAACGGACACTCTGCAGCAGCTTGCCATGAACGACGGCTCACAAGAAAGCCTCAAAACAGTACAGCAACGCCCTTTTGCCACATGCCGAAGTGCAACTAGACCCTGCAATTGGCATCATGCACCATACAAAACCCCCCAAGCCCTACATTGAAGAGGCCTGCGGCCTCCAAGCCCCTTATAATCCCAGCTTCCACTTCAGTGTCCTTCAGAGCCAGGGGCGCGCCTGACTCGTGGCATATTAGGGCTTATTGGAACCTAGGGTTTTTGGGGGCTTTCCAGGCTGAGGGCTTTCTTAGGTTTAAGCCTCAGGGTTTCGGGGTGGCTCTCCATGTCTTTCCATGAAATCTCAGAAGACTAGCAGCGTTGAAGCTTGGAACAAAGAGTCTACATGCCGAGAAGTGACGGCTCCTGATCTTAAGATGTCATGTTTAAGGGTTAGGGTTAGATAGGGTCAAAGCATTTCGGGTTTAGGGTCGCCTTTTCTTGGAAAAAATTGGCACCTGGAGATGGCGACCCAGACCCCTTCGGCTCGAAACCTCCCAAATCCCGAAGTTCATGCAGTGCTACACAGGAAGCGGCCAGTCAATCTACACAAGCCAGAGGCGCAAAAGCATCTGATATCATGGTGGTGGTAAGGCCCTGGGAGAAAGCATCAGACTGAAGGCGGCCTTCCAGCGAAGCTGCCATCAGAATGCGATCTTGTGGCGAAACATGCCAATGACAATGGTAACAGGGCGTGTGCCCTCAGAATTCACTTGCGGAGACCTGGGAGTTGCCAGGTGTGTGAGGGCTGCTACCTGAAACCCTAAGAATGAAGCTCTAACCCCTAAAAGCCCAAACCCTAACCCCTAAACTCTAAACCGCAGTAGGCGGAGGTGGATTCTGTGACGTTGTGGTGGCATCTCGGAGCTGCTTGAACCATCGGACGGAGCGTTCACACTCGAATCGGTTGCGGAAAGCTAACATGCCACGCGACTAACCTCTCAAAAACCGTACCTTCTGCCAAGGCTTCCACTTGCCATATGCAGGAGGGCACTTAGAGCACTTGCTCCAACCAGCACTTGGTCCGATGCTGATTCCCTTCTGTAACTTCTGTTTCTTAGTTCACATGAGCCCCTGTGCACCCCCCCCGAGCCTGTGGGCCGAGGCACATGTCAAAGACAGGGCCAGGAGGGCGCGCATCCCGCGATGCAACATGGCCCGTCATATGGTAAGGACTTCTGCGCCTTGAGTCTGCTGGAAGTACTGACATGGCGCAGGGGTTCTGAGTAGGGGTTCGGCGGGTCCTCTTACGGATACCTTCGGCAACTGTACCCAGCTGGATTGCTGAGAGAGGGGTCCCGGCACCTTTAACAAGTCCCACGGCGCAAAAAGCGCAAGATGAAGGCGTCGTTGTTTTCTTGGCTCCATGCTGTCAGTCTGGGCATGTAAAGTTGGGATCATATACACCCTGGACCATGAAGCCATGGAGGGTTCATGTGCGAGTTGTTGGGTTGTGAGAAGATTTGGATTCAGAAGCTGCGGCATTTGATGCTTCAGAACTCTCTCAGGATGCTCTCTGGACTCGAACTGATGCACCCGTTTCGGAGACATGGGGCCCTCTCTTAGCCCTATGCCCGCAGCAAGCTTTCATTGCATAGTGAGTGAGAATACAGTCGAGGGCCGCCACTAAACAGGGAGCCATGTCAGCAATAATCGTTACGCAGATAGCCTTTCTAGTTGCTTGATCTGTCAGGTCCTAGACTTAACATACTCGCACTTGGACTTTTCTCGCACACGCAAGCACCTTCCGCAAACCCGAAAGGGTCGCAGAAGGAAGTGCATCTCAGCGCTGCGCCATCGGCTGCCAAGGTCTGCCCAGACAGTTTTAGGGTTTAGGGTTTAGGGGCTTGCGGGGGTTTAGGATGCGTGGGCTTCATTAAGCGGGAGAAGCCCCCGACACTGGAAGATGTCCATGTCCACATTTTGAAAGTGCCACGTGCGCGCCATGCCGCGGGCAGCACGACAAAAATCATGACCAAGCATGCCACGTGGTTAGACAGCCAATTCAATCTGAACCTGAAACCATCCATGATCTGAACCCTAAACCCTATAACCCTAAACTCTGAACCCGAAGATGCCTCATCCCCCCCCCCCCAAAGGGTCGGATCCTTTTCTCTTCTCGCGTCAGGGCTTTGCCCTCTCAGCTAGGAGGATGCCATCCTCGAGATCCACGGTGGGACCTGCAGGAGCAGCTCGGTGAAGTTTAGGGTTGACAGGGTTGCAGAGGCTTAGGGCTTAGGGTTTGTAGGGCTTGTAGGGCTTACAGGGCTTATAGGGCTAATAGGGCATATAGGGCTTCTAGGTTAGGGCCTATTGGAGATAGGGCTTAGGGCTTTCGGGAAGTTGCATGTTGTTTGGGCCTGTTAGCTGGGTCTTCTTGTGAGGGAGATGTTGGGCCGTTGGAGGGACTTCGGCCCCCAACACACACTTTAGAGCCAACTTAAACTGCGAACCCTAAACCCTAAACCCTAAACCCTGAACCCTAAAACCCTAAAACCCTAAAACCCTAAACCCTAAACCCTAAACCCTAAACCCTCATCACGGAGTGTAACATGCTCATGTGGATGCTCGGTGCGCACATCGAACCATTTCGAGTGTTTCTGCCAACGTTCTTGTTTCGCTAGGTTTGGGTTTATAGGGTTATAGGGTTATAGGGTTCTAGGGTTCTTGGGGCCTAGGGTTCTAGGGTTCCAGGGTTCTAGGGTTCTAGGGTTCTAGGGTTCTAGGGTTAAAGGGTTTAGGGGGCGTGCACTCCGTTCCCCGAAAGACTTCGCTGCTCAGAAATATCGCAGTCTGCCGGTGGGCACTCGTGGGTATGTGGCGGACATTTGGTGCCTCGATCCTTGCTTTGGGGTGGCGAGCACCCCTCCTTACCCAACGAAGGGATGACCTGGGTTGTGGATAGAGACCGAAAGAAGAGGCCAAAGCCCAAACAATAAACCCGAAACCCAAGCCTCGTAGACCCTTAAACCCTATAAACCCTGCATGAACCCTATAAACGCCAGAGCTCTACAATCCTGCAAACCCCTATAATTAAACCCTACAACGCTATTCACCCGTTCCTTGAAACCCTAGAAACCCTAAATCCTAAACCCTAAACCCTATAGAAACCCTAAACCCTAAACCCAAAACCCTAAGCCCTAAACCCCGAACCCTATACTTTACACCCTTTAAACCCAACTCCCTCTCAGCCCTCGCCTGAAGCACCTCGCTGGAGCCTGTCTGTGGCCTTCTTGAGGAACTCCTTGGAGGTGCGCTCTCTAGGGAAATTTGGGTTTAGGGTTTAGGGTTTAGGGTTTAGGGTTTAGGGTTTAGGGTTTAGGGTTTAGGGTTTAGGGTCCTAAACCCACATGTCTCAACCCTAAACCCTATACACCTTCAACCCTCAAGCCCTCTAGACCCCCAAAACCCCCACAGGCCCTAAACCCTAAACCCTAAACCCTAAACCCTAAACCCCAAAAAGTCGCAGCCAGAGAAGCGGACCACCGATGCTCCACGAGATCAGCTGCAGCCACGGACAGGGCGATGATGAACGCGTAGAGTAGGATCCTCCCGTCTGTACATGTGTTTTACAGACCCTAAACCCTAAACCCGGAGCCCTAAACCCTAAACCCTAAACCCTAAACCCTAAACCCTAAACCCTACACCCTCAACTCGGGGCTTCGCGTTTAGGTCATAGAGTTGATGGGGCTTGCAGGGTTTGTAGTCAGTGGCTGTGAGTGGTGACTGAATAGTCTCACAGGAGACACTTCCAGAATGCCTCACCATTGGCCCGTCATCACCTCATTAACTTAAAGCTTGCGACCCCTTAAACCTTTAGGGTTATGTTTGGGGCTTCGGGTTTAAGGTCCCCGCACCTCAACACAAAAGCCACAAACCTCCCCCTCAGCCCTCAGCCCTATAAACCCCTCAAATCCTCCAACTGATGTCATACCAAGGAACGGCTCGATTTCCTCTGGGAGCAAGTCGTGCAGTGGATTTGCAAGGAGGTAGATTTGCATGGAGTACTCCCCCAGCGTGTGGAGGATTCCTTACTAAAGGGGCATGGCCTAAGAATCCCAAGACATACCCCTCACAGACAGACCAAGAGAGAGTGCACCCTCGCATTCCGCAGTTCCCAGATTCAGCAGCTGGCACTACACCCTACGCAAGCTCATGAGTCTTGGGTTTAGGGCCTATAGGGTTTAGGGTGATCAAGATCCTGATTCAGGGTGCTGGGTCCAGGATGAAGTGAGTAGCTCTCCATCTCAAGGCTTGCCCGAGCCTTCAAGCCTGAATTAAGTCTAAACCCCAAGCTTGTTCGCTCTTAGCACGGAATTCGCGGCAAGTAGGCTCTGTATATGTTCCCTTGCAGGTCTAATAATTCCCTAATAGAACGCCAGACCTGCAACCCCAAACCCTGAATCCGCCACCCCTCTCGCTTCTTTTGGTGGTGCTTCGGAGGGCGAAGATGTGTCAGAAGCTGCTGAAGGGGTCTGTTGTTTCTGTTCCGTACGTAATTAGCGTGGTTTGGCTTGGGGCTGGGCATGTGTGCATGTTCAAGGTTTAGGGTGTAGGGTTGAGGGTCAGCAGGCCAATCCTACACCTTATAAGCCTTAAGCTCTAACCCCCGAGACCCGCAACCCTGACCAATCTTGCCATGCGTCGGTGACTGAGGACTCGGTTCAGGAGGGACTGGTGACCTCCGTGCCGAGATATGCAGCTATCACGCTCCTTCGTCTACGTCGAGTGTGTCAGTGTAAGTGCCCTCAAGCCATGCCTCCCAAGTGAAAGCGAGTGGAGATGAGCTGCGCCGACCCCCAGATTCATAAAACCATTACAGAGGGAAACGGAACCGACCCTGCCATGTGTATAGACCAAAGCTTTCAGCTTTTGGATCTTGTTCGGTGGCGGACTTGTAGCAGTTGTAGCACCACTGCTGAACGCGCTGACGGCCCAAGGCTCTGTCTTAACGTTTTGCTACGCGAGTTTTTTGCATCTGGCATCAGACCCAAGGCGCGCATTGCCGCCACGGCAGCCACAAGAACAAAACATCGTTGCCAAATCCATCGTGGGTGATAGCGGTTCCAACTCTTCAGTATGACACATTGATTACCCAGCAAAGAGAACTCCACAACGGCTAAATAGACTCATTGGTGTCGGAAATCAAGATATCAAAACGATCATATGATTGTACTGCAGCGAAGCAAAGCCGAAATGCAGGTTAAAGAACTATTGAAAACCCTCTCCTTGTGAATTCGGTCTCGACAGGCACAGATGGAATTTCCAGAAAATACCTGAAACCTTGGGCACGAATCAACCCCACAAAACTGCCGCTCTAAGCCCCCAACTCCTGCCGAAGTCCTGACTTCTCAAGGAGAAACCCTAAAGTCTAAACCCTAAACCCTAAACCCTAAACCCTAAACCCTAAACCCTAAACCCTAAACCCTAAACCCTAAACCCTAAACCCTAAACCCTAAACCCTAAACCCTAAACCCTAAACCCTAAACCCTACCCCTAAAACCCTAGGAGCACGATTCCAAGCGGCCCAGGGTTGATGTCAGAACCCATACAGCCACCGGAGCCTTGGGTGGGTTTCGGGTTTAGGGTTTCGGGTTTAGGGTTGAGGGTTTAGGGTTTAGGTCTAGGGTTTAGGGTTTAGGTCTAGGGTCTGCGGTCTTTAGGTTTTAGGGTTGGGGGGTTTCGGGCTACTCCGAATAAGAGAATAGAACCCTCCGTAAAATAGGAGCCGCCCAAAAGGGAATCTAGATGTGTCATCGTAAGTGCTGTGGTTTCCAACAGTCAGCCACTTACTGTTGCAGCTTTTAATGGCTCTTTCTAAGATCTCCTAAAGCCAACAGGCCTATCAGATCTTAAATACTTCCCAGGCCTGCAAAGATGATTGAGGTTTAAGCCTTGATGGGGTTTAGGGTTTAGGGTTTAGGGTTTAGGGTTTAGGGTTTAGGGTTTAGGGTTCGGGTTAGCATCCCAGACTCCAGAGAGCCACTCCAGTAGCTGGAGCCCCAGGAAGGCGCAGCTCCGTTCCAGGAGGCCGTCAGCACCAGGGTCGCGAGCCTCCCCCCCCCCCCAAGTGTGCCTCCCTAAGCCCAAAAAACCCCGAGTTGTGCTTTCATTTGCCTAACCTAAACCCTCAACCCTCAACCCTCAACCCTCAACCCTCAACCCTCAACCCTCAACCCTCAACCCTCAACCCTCAACCCTCAACCCTCAACCCTCAACCCTCAACTAAACCCTAAACCCTGGCTTTGGAGGGCTTTGAGTTCAGGGCTGTCAGGCTCAGGCTCAAGCTGTGGAGCAAGCCATGGGAGCGAGGATTTTTTTTGTCAATTTTTCTGGTTTTTTTTTGTGAATTTTCTTGCTTTTTCTTGCTTTTCTTGTGGTTTTCAGAACATGCCCTCCTGGTTCTGCCTGTCGTCCTCCTCTGGTGGGAATTCTTTTCTGTGTATTTTTCTGGTTTTTTTGGTGAATTTTGCTGGTTTTCAGCTTCCGATGGCCTCTCAGCGGCACCGCGTGTCCGGAACAGGTCCAAATCTCAACGTGCTACAACAACACATTACGTCTAACCCTTCGTCCTTTTGCAACTCGCGCTTGGAGCGTCGGGGCGGCCATCGTTGGCCCCGACAGGATTCAAAAGCTAGTTAACGTCCGGGGCTGGTTCAAGAGGAACCTCGGATGCTTCAATCTGAAACTTTGCTTCGGTTTAGGGCTTACTGCGCATGTAGGCCGCAAACATTCTATCAGGATTTGCGGCTTATGGTGGACGGTTCGGGTCTTATTAGGCTCTACGGTTTGCGGGGTCAAGGTTGCTCCTCGTATCATTGCCCCTTCAGTCCGGAACTACGGCTTAGGGTTTAGGGTGTAGGGTGTGTTGCGGGAAGCGGGGCAAACACGATTCTCGCATGATGGGTTTCCGAAAATGTGTGCATATGGCATATGCTTTGAGGCAAGCTTGCACGGCTTGAGAAAGCGGGGGGGTTGGGGGGGGCACAGCCCCCCCCATTTGCAAACACGATTCTCGCATGATGGGTTTCCGAAAATGTGACGATTCTCGCATGATGGGTTTCCGCAAAAGTGTGCATATGGCATATGCTTTGAGGCAAGCTTGCACGGCTTAAACAAAGCGGGGGGGGGGGTTATTTCTTTCTTTCTTTCTCTCTTTCTTTCTTTCTTTCTCTCTTTCTTCTTTCTTTCTCTCTTTCTTTCTTTCTTTCTGTCTTGCTTTCCTCCTTTCTTTAGTTCTCTCTGTCTTTCTGTCTTTCTTTCTTTCTTTCTTTCTCTCGGTCTTTCTTTATTTCTGTCTTGCTTTGCTTTCTTTCGGCCTTTCTTTCTTTAGTTCTTTCTTTCTTTCTGTCTTGCTTTCTCTCTTTCTTTCTTTCTTTCTTTCTTTCTTTCTTTCTCTCTGTCTTTCTTTATTTCTGTCTTGCTTTGCTTTCTTTCGGCCTTTCTTTCTTTAGTTCTTTCTTTCTTTCTGTCTTGCTTTCCTTTCTTTCTTTCTTTCTTTTCTTTATTCCTTTCTTTCTTTCTTTCTGTCTTGCTTTCCTTTCTTTCTTTCTTTCCTTCTTTCTTTCTTTCTTTTCTTTCTTCCTTTCTTTCTTTCTTTCTGTCTTGCTTTCCTTTCTTTCTTTCTTTCTTTCTTTCTTTCCTTATTTCTTTCTTGCTTTTTTCTTTCTCTCTTTCTGTCTTTCTTTCTTTCTTGCTTAAAACACAGAAAAAACACAAAACAAAAACCAGAAAAAAACACAAAAAAAATACCCTACCCCAAGCCATGTGGTGAAAGGTGAAGACACTTGCAACTGTAGCCATCAAAGGCGCATGTAGGTGTTATATATAGGGGCCTGAATAATTAAAGCGGGCTTTTGGAGGTTATTACAGTATCATTACAAAGGAACCATATGGGAGTATTATTTGCATTTATTCCGACCCCCATATTGCTTGTTGGTGTAGAGCAGACTTTCGCGCTCCACTTCATGGATGGGCACCGGGTAAGATTCTTCCGGATGGTGGTGCTGCTGATGACGAGGAGACTCACTGCTGGACCACCATGGCCACCCTTCCTCGGAAAAGGCCTCCTCTAACCCCGAAAGACCTTCTCTGGACCTTAATGGAGCTGTGTGGACCTTCGATGGAGCTCTGTGGCATGCGAAGCCACGCTAGAATCACTGACAGCTTGGTGGCTATGTCATTCATGTCTCCAGTTGACACGCAGGCTGGCAGCACGAGGCGGGCTGGCGTTAAGGTTGATATCACAAGTCCAAAACAGCTGTACTCTCGCACAGGGAACGTGGTGAAGTCGAGGGTTGTTCTAGCTGTAACAAGGCTTCCGGCTCTTCGCACTCAGGGTTTATGTAGGTTTGAGGGGCCTTATCACTTTGGACGAGACACAGGGTCACGTCACAGCAGACAGGCCAAAGCCACGCCAGGTGAGGGGCATCGGGCATGTGCCGCGCAACCTGGGGCAATGGACTTTTTTGGAAGAGCCTCCCTGTCTCTGGAAGCAGAAGCGGCTCATATGCTGGGTGTCCCATGTCGCCATGCTCAGAAGCACTTTCGGCAGCCCAGCGTGCTTGCAGGAGTGAATGCCCGGAACTTTTGGCAAGGTGAACCCCCCCAAACCCAGGGCCCTACATCCTAAAGGTCCTAAAGGTCCTCAACCCCAGATGCAAACCGAGGCCAACCTCGGCAACACCCATACCGAGGCAGAAGATGAACACGTTGTGCTTCGTCTCCTCCAAAAGAGAGGGGAGGGCTTCATAGGAGTTTGTAGGCGTCGCGTTTCGGGCTTCCTCTGCAACCCTTGTGGATCTGGTTTCAAAAGCTTGGTGGGCCCTTTTGCAAGCTGGGATCTGCTGTGACATGCAACTGTGGCGGCCTTGCAACCAAGCGGCGTAGAACCAGTAGTCCAAATCCATGTCCTCATCCTGCTGGAATACCTTGCACTCTTACTTGCAACAGTCCAGATCGGCTATCACTTGGATCTGACAACACGAGAGAGAATCAGACAAGCTCTTGATGGCAAGTTGTGTAGTGGGTGTTTGTTGAGTACTGAGACCAAGCTGCGACTTGCAAACATCAGAGATCAAGCTGTCGAAGACGGGTATTTCGGGCTTCAGGGGACGCAGCAGACAGCCTGTGGACTTGCCATGTTTTTTTGGTATCCAACCCTTTGACAGAAGGTGGCAAAAATCCGGCCACAACGTGGAAGTGTCCAAGTGCTGATGCTACCCAGGATAAAAGCAAAATTTTACTCCCAAAGTCTCTGAGCAGACATGGTGACAGTAGATTAATCCGAGATGCGAGGCGAGACCACCTTGACCCAACAAGAGGGGCGGATTCGAAACATGTCATGATCGCTCTCCGCCAGGTGCGTAGACAACAGGCATGGGCTCCCCATGATGTACAGTAAACTCCGAGACGTTTGAATCTTTATCCCCATACCTCATAAGGTCTATTAAAGGGAATCCCAGCTCTAATCATCCTTAGACCATGTTGACACTCTCTGGAGCTTTCTGTAAGTTCAGTCGCAGGCAATATGTTCGCTGACTGGTGCCAGCTGAGCTGCACTTCATCACACAGCCCAAGAGTCAGCAAACAGGTCCAGAGAGCCAGCGGATACTTTGCACCGCTCCCGAAACCTCAAGGGCTGAAGTCGGCATCATCCGACAACACACTGCGAAATCTGGCGCACGTCTGACAAGGTGGATGTCTTATGGGCATCATAGGGTTCAGGGGGTTCAACTTGAAAAGGGATAACGCACTTGAGCACCCTAAACCCTAAATATAAACCCGAAACACCCAATCCTAAACCCCACGAAAAAGATCTAACTGAACACTGAAGCAAAGCAGCGCTGTCGCATGTGGAAGAGGATGCGTGAAGCGAGTGGTGCGAACAACCAGCACCTAGGTTCATGGTTGAATTTGGGTTTAGGGTTTAGGGTTTAGGGTTTAGGGTTTAGGGTTTGGGGTTAGGGTTTGGGTCTATTGCAGCCCGTCGACCCCTGCAAGCTGGGGAGCGCCACTAAACTCAACCAGCCCTTACCCCCTCCTCCCCCAACCCAACAACCCCCCCCCCCCTGGCACAGTTTCCACCTTAACTTTCGCAGAATTGCAAGTTACGGGGGCTTAAGGGTTTCGAGTTTAGGCTTTTTGGGCTCTGGCCAGAGCCACGGAAAACCAGGGGGAACGAAAACATGCTCCTAATGGTCGTACCCTGTCTACAAGGAACTTGCCCTTGCAGCTTGGGGAAGAAGCAAGATGTAGTAGGGGCAGCATCTTGCCGCGGTTGATGGGTGGCCCAGATGTGACAGGTAGCTCCTAGCTGTTGATGCTACAAGGGCTGGGTTTCCAGGGTTTGGGGATCGTAGCTGACCAAAGTGCGATCCCGAAAGCATCCGAGGCTTTTTTAAACGCGCTTAGGGACTTTTAGGGCTTAGGGCTTAGGGCTTAGGGCTTAGGGCTTAGGGCTTGGGGTTTAGGGTTTAGGGTCTAGGGTCTAGGGTCTAGGGTCTAGGGTCTAGGGTCTAGGGTCTAGGGTTTAGGGTCTAGGGTTTAGGGTTTAGGGTTTAGGGTTTAGGGTTTAGGGTTTAGGGTTTAGGGTTTAGGGTTTAGGGTTTAGGGTTTAGGGTTTAGGGTTTAGGGATCCCAGATCAGGCGCCACACCAGCGCGCAGACGGTCCATGCAGGAAAATTGGTGGCAGGTGAAGACCCATGCCAGGTGCACAGCATGAGCACCGAGTCCTCTACGACTTTAGGGTTTAGGGTTTTATAGGGTTAAGGGTACCCAGCAAAAATCAGGTATAGTTTTAGCAAGAATCCCTAAGAGTCCTAAAGATCGTGATCACAGCGTCCTATCGAAATCAAAGATGCCGCTGTTGGAGATCGTTTGTAATTCCCCCCCCCCCCCCCGGCCCCCTTCCCGCCCACATGCCCCCGGAAGTTCCCCCATCCTTCTCGAATGTCGATATGGGCCTGGCGGGAGAATGAGGAAGTATAAGAGCGGGATGTTAGGATTCTTTGAGGTGCTTAAGTTGGAGTGCAGGGACCGTTTGGTGGGGTCGGTCGATGGCCCGCACCCAACGTCATGCTCACAGAGCTTGTGTACTTCGGAGTTGCAAATGCCGGAAAAGGATTATGTCATCTCAGCCGCATGGCGATCGGTGCGTAGCAATGAATTTGCGAACTCTGCCTGCAAGATATGAACATCCCTGAACCCCACAACCCTGAACATCCGTAAAGCTGGCCAACTCTCAACTGGGGGTCCTGGAAATCGGTTGCCAGGGACTTGCCCGACGATACCAGTACCAGGAAGTGAATACCTTTGCAGAGTATGCGAGCAAGCTGCAAGTGGTCACACCCGGAAGAAGTGTACTTAGACCACGCTTTCTGAAACATCTCTCGCGGGAAAGATCGCTTGATCGCTCTAGGGCACGTGTGCACAGTGAATGTCGTAGCCGAGCTGCCATAATACATCGGAAGAACGCGAACGATTCGCCGCAAGTAGAAGGAACGGAGGTGTGCTTTGACACCTGACATCTTGTCCTTGGCTTCTGAAAGTCGCACTTCGCGTAAAGATGCGGGCTAGTATGGCATGTACCTCACTACCTTACACCCTACACATGCCAACCCCCCAAAACCCTATAACTCCATGCAATAACCCTATACCCTGAACCCCAAACCCCCTAACCATATGCCCCTAAACCCTAAACCCCTCAACCCTAAACCCCTAAAAACCTCATCCTGACCCCGAAACCCTCAAAGCCACACAGTCACACCCTGGAACGCACTGGTCCACCCCCAAGGTACTGCATAGGCGTATTCCGTCACGAAGCCCGAGAAAAAGACGAAGAACGTGACGGAGCAATAGGCCAGTTCTGCGAAAATGCTCGGGTTGCCTTGGTGCTGCTTGGGGTTTAATACCTCACATCGCGAAAGCCTCTGTTCATTACATTTTAAACGATTACAGTCTCACATCATTACATTAGTATGTTAATAACCGTATATTAGACTATTTTGATTATACTATAATCACTTATGCCTTTCACCATGAAGACAAGCCAGCCCTCCACCTCAAGACAGCCGCAAAGGCGACAAACCCTGCAACTTGTGCAACCAGCCCGCCCCCTTCCTCAAAACAGGACCCCAGGACCCTGCAACCCGGGCGGGGCTGCAGTAGTGGTGCCAGATGATGACGCAGCACATTATGAACTGCCAACCTGGGACTTGGGCGACAAGGGGTTCGGGGTTCAGGGTTTCGGGTTTGGGCAGGACGTTTGGGGTTCGGCGTACCCTATACCCTACATCCTCAACCACCCTGAACCCTCAAAACCTGGCACCCTAAATCCGACCATCGCACTCATCAGAGGCCGGAGACTGCCGATTCCGACCCCGGGGGCGAGCACATGAGAAAGGGGTTTAGGGTTTAGGGTTTAGGGCTTAGGGATGAGGGTTCAGGGTTTAGGTGCCCAGTCCAATAGGCTTCGTTGGTTCTAGGGTTCAAGGGAGTCAAGGGTTCGAGGGTTTGGTCTGGGGGTTTGAGGTTTTAGGGTTGAGGGTTCACAGAGTTTAGGGTTTAGGGGGACTACTCGGGAGGACCGGTGCCCTGAGGCTTTGAGCTCTTATGGTCACTGCATTCAGCCCCGCAGCCATTGAAATGCTCCAGGCGCAGGCGCTTCTCCTGACAAGCTTCCGCCAACACGGTGGTTCAAGGCTTCAGGAGCTTGAGGACGATAAGCCCGCCACAAACCCGACAAACCCGAAACCCACTTAGGGCGTCCAGACTCTGGTAGGGCCCCATCAAAGAAGACAAGCATTCCATTTGAAGCCCCCAGGTCATCAACACAGAAAAGGAATAGGGATGCCCCTCCCAAAAAGCCTCATGCTCGGGAGCTTTCTTGGTTTACCCCTAACCTCTAACCCCTAACCCCGAACCCCTAAACCCTAAACCCTAAACCCTAAACCCTAAGAGCCCGCCCTTCACCGGTCAGCAAGGGGGCCCTTAAGCTCCGGTAGCAGAGCAGGCGCTCCGATCCTGGCGCCGATCGCCCTGGGCGCACTGCACCGCCAGCGCCACGGAAATGGCCTGAAGACAACTGACAGGGTGGGAGTTCAGAAGGTTTAGGGTTAAGGTTTGAGAATACCCTGTTCCACGGGCAGGCCTCTTTAAAGAAGATCAACGGGCCCACGGGCCCACGGGCCCACGGGCCCACGGGCCCACGGGCCCACGGGCCACGGGCCCACGGGCCCCACGGGCCCACGGGCCCACGGGCCCATGGGCCCACAGCCCAGGCTTGTAATGTCGTTACTATCAATTATAACTTCTGCCTATCGCTCTACGCTATCCTGACCACCAAAAATCTTTGCTGCCGGTTTAATCCCCCTCCCCACCTTGTCGTCTACCACTCTCAAATTGTCACAAAGGTCGCTTGACAAGGCACGAGACTACAAGCCACGTCAACTTCGCGAAAACCCTGCTCGAGAACGCCTCAAACCCATACCCAGACTTAGAAAGCGTTCGGGTTTGGGGAGAAAATCGGTGCTGTTGCGGTGATTACAGCTTTGAAGAAGGTCTTTCGGGTTCGGGGATGAGGGCTATAGGGTTTAGGATGAAAGGTTTACAGTTTAGGCTGAGTATCGTCCGGGAGACACTGTGGGACCGCTATGGCGTCGGATGTAGCATGGGCTCGGACGCATGTCCACATCATGGCTCATACAAACAAAACTGCCGCAGTCAGTCAAAGCGCCCGGAATTGCGGGTTTATAAGGTTCTAAGGCTCCAGAAGCTTGGGATCTTGGCTTGAATAGGGCTTAGGTTTTGAGAACAAGGCTTCAAGACCTTGGGTTTGCGTTTGCTTCGGATCAAGTAAATCTTCCAACGCCTTGTCCTTAGGAAACGCAAGCCTGACATGTTCCATTTACACGCGATGTTGCCAGAGCTTGTAATAGTCTTGCATTGCCACATACCAGAGGCTCACGTTCTTAGGAGTAGAGTTGCGGTTTTAGGCTTTTAAGATTGCAGGCTTCAGGTTAGGCTTTAGGATTCTTTGGATTTCACGACTTAGTATTTCAAGGGGGTTAGGGCTTTGTTCAAGATTTAGTATTTCAAGGGAGAGGTGGGTTTTGTGCTAGCAACTGCGGTGATTAGAGATTTAAAGAAGCTTTGCGAAGTAGGGGCTTGGGGACTTTAGGACTTGCAGGGTTAGGGTTTTAGGGTTGAATTTAAGGGTTAAGGTTTTGTGGCTATAGGTTTCAGGATCTTGGTTTGAGTAATTAGGGCTTAGGTTTTGAGAACAAGGCTTCAAGACCTTGGGTTTTGCGTTTGCTTCGGATCAAGTATAAATCTTCCAACGCCTTGCCCTCAACCCCCGCAGCTTAGAAAACGCAAGCTTGACACGTTCCATCTACACGCAATGATGCCAAAGCTTGTAATAGTATTGCAGTGCCACATGCCAGAGGCTCACATTCTTAGGAGTAGAGTTGAGGCTGTAGGCTTTTAAGATTGCAGGCTTCAGGGTTAGGCTTTAGGATTCTTTGCTTAGTATTTCAAGGGGGGTTAGGGCTTGGTTTCAAGATTTAGTATTCCAAAAGGGAGAGGTGGGTCTTTGGCTAGCGACTGCGGTGATTAAAGCTTGAAAGAAGCTTTGCGAAGTAGGGGCTTGGGGAATTTAGGATTTCGCCTTGTCCTTAACCCCCGCAGCTTGGAGCTTGACATGTTCCATCTACACGCAATGATGCCAGAGCTTGTAATAGTATTGCAATGCCACATGCCAGAGGCTCACATTCTTAGGAGTAGAGTTGAGGCTGTAGGCTTTTAAGATTGCAGGCTTCAGGGTTAGGCTTTAGGATTCTTTGCTTAGTATTTCAAGGGGGGTTAGAGCTTTGTTACAAGATTTAGTATTCCAAAAGGGAGAGGTGGGTCTTTGGCTAGCGACTGCGGTGATTAGAGCTTTAAAGAAGCTTTGGCGAAGTAGGGGCTTGGGGACTTTAGGACTTGCAGGGTTAGGGTTTTAGGGTTGAATTTAAGGGTTAAGGTTTTGTGGCTATAGGTTTCAGGATCTTGGTTTGAGTGGGGCTTAGGTTTTGAGAACAAGGCTTCAAGACCTTGGGTTTGCGTTTGCTTCGGATCAAGTAACTCTTCCAACGCCTTGTCCTGAACCCCCGCAGCTTAGGAAACGCAAGCCTGACATGTTACATTTACACGCGATGATGCCAAAGCTTGTAATAGTCTTGCATTGCCACATACCAGAGGCTCACAGTCTTAGGAGTAGAGTTGAGGTTTTAGGCTTTTAAGATTGTAGGCTTCAGGGTTAGGCTTTAGGATTCTTTGGATTTCACGACTTAGTATTTCAAGGCGGGCGGGGCTTTGTTTCAAGACTTAGTGTTTCAAGGTTTTGTTTTGGCAAGGTTTTGTTTTGGCAAGGTCCAGGCCCGTGCACGGGCTCACGGGCTCACGGGCTCACGGGCCCACGGGCCCACGGGCCCACGGGCCCACGGGCCCACGGGCCCACGGGCCCACGGGCCCACGGGCCCACGGGCCCACGGGCCCACGGGCCCACGGGCCCACGGGCCCGCCCGCCCAAAAGACCATGCCCTAAGGTTTGGGGTTGAAGGGTTTTAGGATGTTGCAGGGTTTTAGGACGTGTCAGCATCAAGACCCTCAGAATTCTCACAGCTGCAAGCGACTGCCAATATGTATAGGGAGTCTTATGAGCAGGACCTTAGGGATTAGGGTTTAGGTTTAGGGTTTAGGGTTTAGGGTTTTAGAAATTGTAAAGGGTTTGTATTCGGAGTTTTGCCGGGTTTTGCCGGGCTTTGCTGTTTGCTTTTGCTGAAATCTTGGGGCTTCCTGGTGCCTTTTGGGGCCTCCTGCGGCCTTGTGGGGCTTGCTGGGGCCTTTTCAGGGCCTCCTTGGGCCTTTTTGGTGTCTCCTGGGACCTTGTGGGGCGTTGTGAGGCTTTCTGGGGGCTTGGGGCTGCGGCTGCGGCTGCGCTCGCAGTTTCTTTTTGGCATCTTTCGGGACTTCTTTTCTCGCTTCGGGTCTTTTTGGTGCCTGAGAGTCCTGCTTTTTTGGGTCTTCTTTTCTTGCACGGTGTAGGATGAAGGATTATTGTACGAGCTGCTCCTGGCCTTGAGGGTTTAGGGTTTAGGGTTTAGGGTTTAGGGTTTATTGTTTAGGGTTTCGGGGTCAAGCAGCCAGAGCCCAGGCGAAGGCCAATCCGCTGAGCCGATTCCAGGAGCTGCGGTCGTCGGCCTGGGCATTGGGGGGCTTCGGGCTCAGGGCTCAGGGCTCTTCCTGGGGCTTTTGGGGTTTCGGGTTTAGGGCTCAGGGCACTTAGGGCTTAGATGGCTTGGGGCTTAGGGCTGAAGGCTTAGGGTTTAGGGTGTAGGGTTTGTGTAGGGAGGGGGTTGCAGTCCTCATAAGGTCTACTCTGGGAGAGTCTCACTGGGCTTGTTCAAGCGCCATGTGTTATTGCGCGCACCGCTGTTTCTGCAACTGGCGGCCTGAAATCCATCCAGTTCCGCCTCTGCCAGCGTCTCACCGTCGTCATCGCCATGCTGCATGCACCCCCCACCCCCTGGAAACCCTCAACTGGAACTCCGAAACCAAGGCCTGAAAGGGCGAGGCTCAGGCTACTAGCGACACAATTTTCTGGGGCGTGCATGTTTCACTTTTGCCATTGCCAGTTCAGGTACTACTCCCGGCTCGCTACGACGTCTATCTAACCCTAAACCCTAAACCCTAAACCCTAAACCCTAAAACCCTAAACCCTAAACCCTAAACCCTAAACCCTAAACCCTACATGTGCCAGTGGATGCTTGAGCAGATATGGCAGAGACACTAGGGAATGCTTCGGCGAGGGCTCCACCACGGCAAGGTTCTCGCGGTTTGGGTTTTAGGGGGTTTTTGGGGGGTTTGAGGATTCAGGGATCTGGGTTGGTTTAATTTAAGGTTTGGGCTCGACAACAAATCTGTGTATAGGGCACATCAGCAGACGGACCCAGCCACTCCCAGTGCCTCCACACCGCAGTTCGGCTCATGGGCTGTGGAGGAGTGCACGGATCAGAGCCTTAGGGCAGGTCGTCCAATGACACCTTCCCTGAACGGTTTAGGGTTTAGGGTTCAGGGTTTAGGATTTAGGGTTTAGGGTTTAGGGCTCTTCACACAGCTCCCGACGATGGCCGTCCCTTCAGATACTTCAAGGTCACAGCCAAACATGAGACTCTCACGACGGGAGAGGATGAACTTGAAATATCAATCAAGGCTTTAGACGGTTCCCGATTGGAGGCCACCATGTCTTGTGAAGTGTGACCAGGTCTTGCTCGTGACAAAGGACTGATTGGGCTAAACAGCAGGCAAGTTCACCTCTAAGCCGGATCACTCTCTGTTTTGTCAATGCTGAGTGGCCTGAATTGTTAAACGGATAACACGACTGGTGTGGCCTTCCAGCAGAAATGCGGGTGCTCGGATTTGGGACCATTTCCCTCCTTGAACAGATCTCTGAACCCCTAAAACCTAAACCCTAAACCCTAAACCTCTATGGAGCCCACTCCTGCAAGGCCGATTCGACCCGTGGCATGGTCTGTGAAACATCGCCCGGCCCAGAAATCTGCTCCTCGACTCATCGATACAGCGGCTCAGGTACTTAGGCTTAGGGTTTAGGGCTTAGGGCTTAGGTGTTAGAGTTTAGGGTTTCGGGTTTCGGGTTTCGGATTTGGGGTTTCGGGGTTTGACAAGCCCCGAGAAGCCCTGGAAAGAGGCTCTGGGAGCGTGTTGTCGGTCTGAAGTTCCAAGCTTCCACTTTGAACGCGTGGAAGCTCCGGATGGGTCATAGGGTTTAGGTAAAGTTCAGGGCTTAGGGTTTAGGGTTTACCAAGCCCTAAAGCCTAAACCCTTAACCCTAAACCCTAAACCTAAACCCTAAACCCTAAACCCTATACCCTATACCCTAAACCCTAAACCCTCGACTTAAGGGCTTCCCTTAGGGTTCTGCGGAGGGCAAGCTCTAGGTTGAGGCAGCCTCCTTGTAGATGCCCGGGCCAGGAATAAAATCAAAGGTACATCGGCTCTGCAATTTTCAGAGCATTGAAAAAAATTGACCCTGGGCGCCAGGGTGTAGTCCCGATCCCACCAACCCCGAACCGCGACCCGAAGTCCCTAAACCTTAAACCTTAATCCTAAATCCCTAAACCCCTTAGAAGCCTAAGCCCTAACATAGCGCTCGCATAGGAGCTCTAGGTGGCTACACCCTGGCCACGCATGGGACGGTGCGATTTCCGGCCTCCAGTTTCCGGCAGCCGGAATGTGCATTGCGTGGTTCAGCCCAGCTTCTTCTGCACTTGCCTGCTTTGGACTTACAGGGGGTAAGGGCTTAGGGTTTTAGGGGGTAGGGTTGAGGGCTGCACTGAAGAACCCTACATGTAGAGACCTACGCCGCTCGTCTTTGGTGGACTTCTGGAAACGCTTGTAACCCTCAAGCATGAGGAACGGAATCAAAGCACGTAGGTTGCGGGTCTTAGGCTACATGATCAGGGTTTACGCGCTTAAAAGTTAAGAACCTGTCCTATCTTGTGGTTCTCTGTGTTCCTTTGCAACATCAAGGAAGTACGTGTCCACAAACTCCACAATACAGACAATCAACATGCTTCCTTATAAGTTGAACAAATTCACATTCTTTCGTTTATGCGCTAGGTGCGATTGAAACACAGTGAGAGCGTGCGTGAGTCAAACGCGGCGCGAATGAAGCGAGAGAGCCCTAAGCAACGCCATGTCAACAGTCGTTTTGTTGTCACTCGCAAGCTTTCCAATTCCCTCAAAAAGGCTTGACTCTCTGTGTTTCTGGGGGGGACCCTTGAACCAAGGACACCGCAATGCAAAGAGCCAAGTAGTGATTGCGACCTTCATGTAGCAATACGCTTTCATTCCCGGGCAAGGAACCTTGCCTGCTTTGAGCTTTTCTCAAATACATATAGCTACTGCCGCAGCATTTAGAAGAAGAACACAAAACAGCTGCTATCCGTCCTGCTGCCCCCTAAACACCAGACGCGTGCATCGTACGTATAATGTCAGTGGAGAAACTCCCGGGACGACAGCTGGCATCATCGTTCTCCCATCCATGCCTTTACATAGGCGGTTTGGAGTTTGGCTCCCAGCAGCCTGAGCTAGGCCAGAGAAAATACCCCCCCCGCCCCCCCACACATCCATGCAAACCCCCTACCCCCAGGAGTCCAAGTGCCTCATGACGGCACTTTTCTAAATGATGGGCCCTTTTGGGTGCCCTCAAACAGAAGGCTCCGGGTTTTCAAGGCAAATGCGAACCCAACAAAAACAGCGGAAAGCAGAGAACCACGCGTGAGAGGTGAAAGGCAGGGTTCGAGACTTGGTGTGCAGGAACTGGGCATGGAAACATAAGAATAATAGTAATAATAATACTAATAATACTAACAATAACAATATATAGACAGATTGTGCTTGGTTCGCAAAACTGGAGCTCGCACATGGCATCCTGATACCTTGACCTCTATAATCCTCGCCACTCCGTCTGCTACTGCTCGTCAGCTTCCCATGGAGTCAATGGCTGCACAAGTGATATTGAGATGCCATCGGGCACGCTTCCTGGAGCCTAAAACAAGAAAGCCTAAGCTTTTTTAGCTTGTGAGCTTGTGGCCTAACTTTGGGGTCTGGGTCGAGGATTTGCTTGAGTCTCGTAGACGAGGGTTGAGGGATGTAGGGTAGGCTTGTTCACAAGACGTTTTTTAGTGTAGGGTTCGGGGCTTTAGGGTTGTGACAAAAAAGGTGGGGGCTTAAGAAGGGCTTTGTGATGGAGACTCTGAGATTGAAGTGTAGAATAACTTGGGGGGGGGGGGGGAATTAAGGGTTTAGGGTTTAGGGCCTTAAGGGTTTAGGGTTTAGGGCCAGGGGTTAGGGTTTAGGGTTCCCCTGCCTGGCAAGGCCTTGCACTGAGGCTACTCAGGGAGCTGTCCTCAGCTAAGCGGTCAGAAGGCGTCTCAAAGGAGGTTGTAGGGATCGCTTGGGTTTAAGGTTTAGGGTTTAGCACCTCTACACCGGCACCTCGTGAGCTTTACCGAAGCTTTCTGTCTTTAAAACGCGATGACAACGAAGCCGCCCTGTTGACAAGTCCAACGGCACAAGCGTGTTCGTCCAGAGAAGTCTGGTTGCATGTCGTATCGGTTGCCCCACAACCCTAAACTGCACGATTCCCAAACCATGTAGTTCCTAGTAGCTAGGCAAACTCAACACTGCCGACGCTTAAAAGCCACATAGAGTGAACTATCTGGTTAACAGCAGCGACATGCCCATCCTTTCAGGTACACCCCATAAAGCCTAACCCTGAAAGCGAGCAGCCACCCTGCACCCCCAAACTCCTAAACCCCTAAACCCCTAAGCCCCTAAGCCCCAAGCCCTAAACCCTAAACCCTAAACCCTGACTCCACAGCCAAGGTGCGATACCCTAGCCAGTCTGAGGGAGCCTCATAGTCCCAGTACTGCATGAAGCGGAGCAGGGTGACCTTGAGTCTACCGCCCTTTTAGGGTTTAGGGAACCCTAAACCCTAAACCCTAAACCCTAAAACACGAAGCGCCCAAACTTGTGAGACGTTAGAGCCTTATGGCCAGGGCTTGTGCAGGGCTCTGGCTGCCATAGGTGCCTATAGGGCTTCTAGGTCCTAGCGTGTAGGCCGACTGATGAGCTCGGAATAAAGCAAGAGTCGAGCCCAGGGAAAAAGGTGGAATTGGGAAAGTCCTACTCTACAAATCTTACCCTGCACTCCTGAACCCGGAAAATCCTGAAACCCAAACCCGCAGCAGCCAGGCTCAGTGGCCTTAACTTAACTTTGGGGGGGGGGGGGGGACACCCGAAAGAGTCCGAGTCACGGTGGGTCCATCAACGGGCCAGTCAGCCTCGCGCCACAGCAAACGCTTCGCCAAGGCATATCGTAGAGTAGTAACGTTACTAAGTTTTGCCAGGGGGCCCTTAAAGATCATGATACTGCCGGGCCACCTACTTTCCAGGGCTTTGGACGGTTTGCGCTGGATTCCGCACATCATAATCAACCTCATGTGGGTTCCTTGACACTGGCGTAATCGCAAGCCACCGCACTGGCTTCAGCGCCTTTACAGAAAGCCGGGGTATTCTTGTCACTGCCTACGAGGCCCCAGTCCTTCACAGCACGAAGCCTAGCTGATTGTGTGTGCGCGGGGTCACTCCAATCCCAATTAGTGCATTAGTGCACATGCATTTATTCGAAACACACGGGTCACAGAAATCCTCTAAACCCTAGAAGCAATCAAAGTCCTTAAGTGACAGAGAACGGTGACCCCTTAAGCCATACCAATGCCCTTCCTCAGGCGGCGGTTCACTTCCTTTCACAGGGTTTAGGGGCTTCGGGTCTATGCAGCAAGATTGCTACCCTTGCCATCATATACCAGCCCAAAAAGAACCCGGTCGGTATAACGCTGTACGATATGCCAAAACACACGAAAACAAAAAGACACATCAAAGTGATATGCAAAAACTACATAAACGGAATGATGCAATGAATCA